TGACTTGATTGTGGAAAAGTCTTATCAGTTTTGCGTTTTATAATTAGTTCTGAGAAATGCAGTTGTTGGAAAACTCATTTTAAGGAAACTGAATTTCATATTCAACTGTCCATGAAGATTCTAAATTTGTCTTACTTTGTTAATTACAAACCACAATTTTTAGCTAAACTCTTAAGTGACTAAAAAGAGTGTCGCAACTCACCTATATATAATAAATATTTACAAATATGTCACAAGAATCAGTTTTGATTACAAATATGTGCAAGTGACATTTATAGCGCAAGTAATATAAGAATCTATTAAATATACGAATCTGTTAAATATAAATGATCTCTAGAGCAAGTAAATCTTAAGTATTATAAAAAGTTTGATGGGTCAAACATTATAATTAATATGATCGTGACACGTATATATAAATATAATTTTTTTTGTTTCTAATTAGATTTAACCATATGTCAAAAGATTTATCTATTTATAAAATAATGAAAAGTAAAATTAATTTAAACATGTTTAATAAAATATAAATTTAATTTAAACAGAATTAGGAAAATCTAATTATTTGGAAATATGTAGTATAATTTAATTGAGATAATGAAAAATAAATTTAATTTAAATAGGATTAAACATCTAAACGTAATTTAAATAAGATTAAGAAAATTTAATTATTTTGATTTATATGGAATGATTAATTCAATATCAAATAATATAAAAATAATATGAGAATAAAATAGATAAATATTTGATAGATTTTTCTATAAGTAGTTTTGTTGACATTATCAATTTTATTTTATAACTTCATGGGGGTAACTCAGTTTTGTCTTCCATATTTTTCGTGTTAGATTTGTGGTAAAAATATTTCAAATATAAATATGAAAATAAATTTGTCAATATTTTTAAAAATAGATATTTAAAATATAAAAAATAAAATAAAAAGGTATACCTAATTTAAATATGAATAACAAATAATTTGATATAATGTGATAAAATTTAATTATAATTCAAATAATAAAAATATTAAAATTAATAAATAAATGTTATGCTTCTCAATTAGTAGTTTTTTAATAACGTTATCACTTTTATTTTATTTATTTTCACGGGTGATCTAATTTTTTTGTACAACTAAACATTTTTTTCCACACAATTTGCATATATGGGAATCCTTAATCTAGTAATCTAGTAAAGGATAAACTTATCACAGTATATATTATCAAGTTTTGGGCACCGAGAAGATTATGGATCGAACATCCAGAACTCCAACTGTATTTAAAAAAATAATAATAAATAAACTTTCCACAATATATATTATCAAGTTTTGGGAAAAAATAACGTTTAATTACTTTAGGGGTACGTCGAAAAAAAAAGAAGAGTATTTTAGGGGTTTTCTTGTCAAGTATTTTTATGCTTTTTTCATTTAAAATAC